AAGCCCTCCGATTCTTCACATGACTTCGCTAAGCCCCAAAACTGTGGTCTCTCGTCTCATCGATGGTGCCTAAAACATACAAAATCTCGTATATAGGCTGCAGTTTGAATCCAACCGTATGAGGTACTATAGCTTTTTGCGTCAGTCAGATTTTTTCCGATGCTCGTATAGTGATGAGAAACCAAAGCGAACGGTTTCTTCAATTTGTAAATAGCGGCAGCCTTTAAAGTATTTGACCCCCAGTATGTACCAGTAGGGAGACAAAGTATTGAACCTTCCGAAACTTGAATCGTAACTCAGGTCTTTTCAAAGCTGGAAGGACTGGACCTTTACAAAGTTCCATTCTGCTGGCAAGCTAACCTTCTGCTAGCTGGATTTGAAAGCTTTAGATTCAAGGGCAAGACCTTATTTCGTTAGAGGTTAGGATTAGAGGCTAGGCTGGGGCTTGTCTACTGCAGGTACGGCTACGAAACAGGATCCGTCCGATTCAAGTTGTCGCGCTCCTATAAAGATTAGCCATTAGAACATGCACTGTTTGCCGATATCCATCAGAAATCGCTGGAAGTTTTTAAATATTCGTTGAAATAAACAATACCATCATGGTAGAGGGGCGCTCACCGATAGTTTCTATGGAACTCACTCGTCCCGTTGTGCCTTACGGGCTCTCTTTCGAGCCCAGCCAGCAGCCGCACAGCGGCGCATGATATAGGCAGAATGTTATTACCGACAAAGACAAGGGAGACTAGAATGGCCATTTCTGGCTGAGTCGAGCACGAGGTATTCCACACTTCGGAGTTGGGTATGACTGGCTGACGACGGCTAATAAGCCAGAAATGGCCATTCCAGTCTCCCGTGTCTTTGTCGGTAACAACACTCAGACAATACTAACTACTTATTCGCAGAGAATAAAGTGCCAGTTTACTTTATGTAACGCAGAGTGCTGGATTTTGGCTGTTATTCTTCTCAGCGACCTTGGAATATCGCTCTCGAAAAAAAAGATGACTTATCAGAAGAAGAAGCGATCGCTGGAACAAGGGCTTTATTCGCCTGACGTTTCGGATTCTCACTTGAACCCATCATCAGAGACAGTGGCCGAAAGGGGTGACTCGTGCACAGGAAGTTGCAGTATTTACAGTATGCAGTCGCTATGCTACCGCATACCTATAGCAAGTAACCGCGCCCCCCTTCATCAAAGATTGTTGCCCGCTGGTGCGCTAATGGCATGGTGGCTGGCATGCAAGTTGTTAAATGCAGCGAGGAGGGACGACAGAGAATGCGGGTAGATTGATACAGCACTGTTTCGGGCTTATTCTGCCTTCATTCAGATATTCATAACCCTGACCAGCAGCTTAGACCAGGAACACAAACATGCGCACAGACGCACCTCGCGCAGTTGGTCCACCACTGAGGCCTACCAGATGGGTCATAAGCACTTCATCGAACCGAAGTTCATCAGTTCCTCGCCACCTGTCATTCTCTGTCGCTGCAGATCGGGTATTTGTTAATTGCCGAAATGTCATCACCCGTGTTGGATGCTGGCGTGATGATGGCTCGGCCATCTGGGTCACCGGCTTGCGCGCTCCCCGAGCGGTCAGGTACTTTGGCCAGCCTATGCCTCAGCACGGAATATGGAGTGGGGAGGTCGTTGCACTTGTTGATAGACTAAGGTCCCGTGAACCATGACTTAAGCAACTCCCGTCTCGTTTGCGCATGCACCGACTGACGAAGTTGCGCGGGTAGCCATTTTCTCCGAAAGCCTGTCGAAGATATTGGGATTCGGCAACCTTGTCTTCCGGTTCACTGCAGTGCGTCTCAACTCGCCGATATAGCGTCCTTACGCAACTGCGTGCATGAATGCCGGCCATCAAGCAATTAACGCACGAGCGGGTAACAATCCTTGATGAAGGGGAGCGCGGTTAATTGCTATAGGTATGCGTTAGCATAGCGACTGCATCCTATAAATACTCCAACTTCCTGTGCACGAGTCACCCGTTTCTGCCACTGTCTCTGATGATGGATTAAAGTGAGAAGCCGAAACGTCAGGCGAATAAAGCCCTTGTTCCAGCGATCGCTTCTTCTTCTTCTTCTTCTTCTTCTTCTTCTTCTGATAAACTAGTTCCTGGAATTCGCATCTTCGCTTGTATCGGCAAAAAGATGTCTACTAAACCAATATGCTTTTTTCCCTGATTTTCTATGTCTGCGCACGTTCTGTCATGCTTCCTAAAGAGAATGTGTAAAATTTTTCCTTTCTTTTGGAGTAACATATTTGAGGTAGGGAGACGTTTTGATACTTTAAAACTTACTGACTTGTGAATATTATGAAGTAGTTCAAGCTTTCACTTTTTTCCAGGAGTAGCTAACTGCTTATTGTGTGCTAGCCCTCTTTACACTCCTACGAAGGGGCTTCCAGGCCGCCTTAAATGCTGCAGAATCTTTTTAAGCAGACCCAGTTAGTCTGTTTACACTAGACTGCATAAACAATCATGCGAGTATCTAAAAGTTTTTCCGGCTACAACCGCGTTTGAACTCGAGGCATACTCCCCCTTCAAAGGTGTGTGCATTACGAGTTCAAAAAGTTTTGCAATTATGAGACTTCCGTGACGCCAACTTATTACCCCCCACCGGTTTATCAATGCTGTTGATAAACTGCACGATTTGGTCCACACCCGATGCAATATTTAGGACAAATAACAAGTTGGTCGGATGTGGTTTGGTAGCCCCACCTGAAGTAAAGAAACCTCAGTCATCTCGAATACGGGACCGGTAGTAATAGGGGTTTTTACATCTGGAGCCGGGGAGCGCATAGGTGACGAGGGCAATTAGTTGCATGCAAAAGAAAAGCGTGTTTGTACTTTCAATGGTTGAGAGATCGTTGCGCTAACCCTTAACCCTAACCCTGGCCCATAACTATAACCCCTAATCCTAAACTCCAATCTCTAGCCATAGTCCATCACCCCTAACCATAAATACTAACCCGGACTCCTAACCCTTAACCCCGACTCCAACAGTATTGTGTCCATCAGGTGGGGCTACCAAACCATATCTTACTAACAAATCTTTTACAGGGACATGAGGGGATCAATTAATATTATTTAGAGGAATTACGTGTCAAGTCTTTGAATGGATCCAGACTCATAGCAACAAGCTGGAGGAAAACGTACGCAAGACCAGATATCTCCGCGATCAGTTTAGAGGGATGGCTATTCGAAAACGTTCACAAGCCGATCTCTACGCCTTCAACTCCGAAGAACCCGAAGAGATACACCACCAAGGATATAAGACGCTCTGCCACACATCAAGGGCGACTCAAAAGCGAGTGATTGCATTGCTACGGGACCGGCTCAATGCCACCATGCGCAAAAGGGTCACAAAAATCAAAGAACGCCTAAATCCCAGAAACAGTCTGATATAGTACATCGTATCCAGTGTCCGAAATGTCCTTGCTGCTATAGAGGTCAGACTTAACGCATGCTCGGTTGGCACGCACACACACGACATAAGCTGGCTGGGCGATGAGAACGACGAATTATCGTAAATGGCTGCCCACACCTACGAGACGATCCAAGAATTAAACTTCACAGCCGCCAAGATAGCCGCCCACACCGGAGACAAGGCTAGCCGCGAATTGATTGAAGCCTGGGTCCCAGATGAAAGCCCAGTCATTGTACCGATCTATCGCCGGCATACAAAGCCCTGTTCAGTCACTTCCAGACCTGCATCATTGGCCGTTGATTGTCTTAACTGCTCGTCAGGGTTCTCAACTGGCACCCAACTCTCATCTATGGCAGAAATTCGGATGCTCTGGAGGATTCACGCACATGGCGCGTCAACTCCACGGCGGGGTGTTGGCGCGCGTCACGGACGACGGGATCGTCTTAGAGGCATTCGCGCTGATCAACGGATGAGGCAGGGCTGCGCACTCTCCCCCGCCATCTTAACCCTCATGTTCTTTGTCATACTGATGGAAGCCTACCGTGATGAGCGCCCCGGATCCGTATCACCCACAGGACCGATGGGCATCTTCTCAGCAGTCAGCACATGCAGGCCCAAATACGTCGCTCCACGACTATCGTCCAGGATCTGCTCTTCGCAGGCGAATATGCACTCCACACCGCAACGGAACCAGGTATGCAACGGAACATGGATTTCTTCGCCTTCGTCGGCGCCAACATCGGGCTGACCATTAACACGAAGCAAGCGATGGTCATACACCTACGACAGTTCGACCGTCGATTTCGACGATGTCCACCGTGTGCCCCACAGACTGCATTGTGGGAGCAGAGACGGTGACTTGCGCAAGGATTTATAGTGCCGGTAGGCTTGCGCTGCATCTACCTAACTCTCTTCTCCTCCCCCGCCTGAGCCCGGTGTCAAGACCAAGTCCAGAAGACCGGAGACGGGGGAGGCCGCAGGTGGATGGCTCGGACGGATCCTCGCCTTGGCGCTCCACTCCGCACCCCCTGGTCCACACACAAATGAC